GCAATGGACGCTAGCAATAGTGAAAGAGGCAATCCCCTGCTGGAAATTCAGAAAAAGGAAGAGAAGTTGAAGATCCCGGGATGTTACCCCACTAGCATTCATGTGGGTCCTGCGGAAGTAAGGAAATAGGAGAGTTTTTGATGGTATAAGAACGACAATGTACATTTGTGGAATAGCCCCTCACTCGCAGCTCTACATATAATTGGGTGTCGTTTGTAGATAATCATATTATCTTGTAGATTCTCTACTTTTTGGGATACTGCTTGTATACAGAAAATTTTCCCATTATTAAACAAATTATTTACCCTACCAAAAAAACAGAAGGAAGGCTATAACAGCATAGTAATTTCTTCACACAACGACAAATATTCATACAAAGATATATTTCCAATGGAAGGATCAGATTAACAACACTGAATACGAAGGAAAAGAGGGGATAATGGAAGCAGTAGTTCAATTCTAGAAGCAACTTTGGAACTTTTTTAGAGCATCAGCTCCAACGAAAATTACTCAAGGAGAGACCGTTTGTGAGTTACACATTTGAAACACATCTGTAAACAAAGTAATTAAGTCAAATGAAAGTGTATCTTCTGTAACAACTTAAGTTTTAAATGACGCAGTCACACAATTCAGCATGGTACCATAGCAAGCGAAACCTTGATTCAAGTTTTACCACCACCCATTTATCAAAAGCATTTACACATGCATGGCCTATGAAAAGAGTCAAGTCCGCAAGTGAAGGGGGAAGTTGAAGACATAATTAAGCTAAGTGAAAGTGTACCCTCTCTAACAGGAGCTTTAAGTTAAAAAGCCATGTGTACTCCATCTTTAAAGTTAATACAAGGCGCACCCAATCCGTCTTCCACTAAAAAAGCCATGTGTACCCCATCTTTAAAGTTTATACGATCTATACAACATTTACATTGCCCATCCAGCAAAAGATACTTTAAACATTGTGGGTTAAAATACTTATTCCTCATGAGGTATTAGTGCCTTGTGTACATTTAATATTTTTAGCCCAGCATGTTTGGCTATTGGCTATTTAGCTGTCTTGCAGCGTAAACCAACCTTCTAATTTGAAGACGGTTAAAGTACACCATAAACCTCAAAGCACCAAATGACATATAAACTTGTTGACTTATCAAGAAAGACGGAAAAAACATAAGCTTGTCGAAGAAAACGTGCAACTCAGTACCATCTGGAGGACGTACCTTATCATACACTGGAATGAAGTAATAGCCATTAGGTGCACAATGTGTTCTTTCCTTCACCAAGCCATCCAATGTGCGAAGCTCAACCTGCATTAGAAAAACATGTCATTGGAAGCTCTAGTGTGTTATCCTTACGGATTTAATTAAAAGCACTGTAATGCATAAATTCGCGATGGCTGACTGAGAAATATTAGGCATAGTGGCATACTACAGCACCCGTCAACAGGGTATACAAATAACTCTTCAACACCATTAATTTGAGAAGATGAATTGGACAACGCCGACCCCAATCAGCATGCATAAAATGCCACCCTTTTTAAGCTAGGGCTGCAAGGCATAGTCCCTGGAGCACGGGGCTAATATCCTATGGAATTTTTTATTTTCATATATAAGCAAAAAGTAGCATATAATAAAGCCAAACAATGGTGAAATAAAAACAACACTTAATCGTTTAAGGAAAGGACAGTGGGTTAACGGTCAATAATTTATGATTTATGCTTACAAAAAAAAAAAAAAGAGAGGACAAACTTTTGGTTTACGATAATGAAAATTGACCTCTTTTTCCCTTCACCAATAATTATTTAGTATACGAATAATAAATAAATCATCATTAGGAGATATTATATAAATTTCCAACTTTATTTAACTTTTATATGTTTTTAACGTTAAAGAGAAAATATATGATAAATGCTCAAGCTCCAAAGTTTAGTTCCAGCGATAGCATAATAGAACTCCAACTTTCCCCGAAAGCACCCTACCTCAAGAAATAGCAATACTTGAAAGGAGATATCACTCCTTATAATACGAAAACCAACACAGAGCTAGTCCAAAATTAATGTGCATTTGGCTGATACTAACCCTAAGTTGAACGAATCAAGTAAAGGAGAACAATTATGGATTATCATACTTTCAATAGTTTCCACTTACAATGATATTAGAATAATCTAATTTCGGATCGCTTGACTTCCTTGACTTGATCAGTTCCGAACTCGCCTGCAGAAAAAGAAAAAGAAACAAAAAACCAAATCAGTGTCACACTCTTCACCTACTAAAATCAATTGCATTAAAAAAGGAATGAAAAAAACACTCAGAATCTCTAAACCTAAGATTTTTCAATCTCCGATTTGAAATCAACATTAAACCCTTCACAAAAAGTAGCTCAACAGGCCTCAAAAACTGAATTTTTTTGTGCCAAAATCAAAACTTTAGCAGATCAATAATGAAGTAGTAAGAGATAAAATCACCTCAACAAATCCACCACATCCTTGAATTGAATCAGCAGTGGCAATGGATGCAACATAGAGAAAAATCAATACGACAGTGAAGACATATTGATAGTAGGTGGATGCCATTGCCGGCACAAACAGATCTCGCTCTGCTCAGTTCAGCTGTTCTCTCTGCTGTGATGCGCAAGGGTTTTGGTCTTTGTACATAAGACCTTAGAGGTAGGGCCAGAAGGGAGAAACTAAAGAGCAATATTTTATATTGTTAGTGTTTCTTCTTTTTGGGTATGGTGAGAGAGTGATCAAATAAATTTGTTCATCAAAGTTAGAGCAGATACACTATTGTAGCAAGATTGAAAATAGAATCTCTAATTTTTTATTTTTTATTTTAATAGAAATTGGAGTACTTGTATATTTGTATAATTAATACTAATAGCCCGTTTGAATTGGCTTATTTTAAGTGTTTTTAAGTCAAAATCGCTTTTAAGCTATTTTGTAGCGTTTAGATAAAGTAAAAAGTGCTTTTTAAGCATTTGTATTTAAGCTAAACAGACAAAAACAAGCCAAGAGCTAAAATTTATAACTTATAATTTATCCTTAAAATAACCCCATTCAAATAGGCTACATGCCATAGAGATGAGCATTTTAATTACCAAGCTCAGCCAACTTAGTACATGTATTATTGTTACTCTTATGACTAAAAAACATACTTTTGAGAACTTCTATTTTATTGAAATTATTTGCCTTTTTTATTTTCCATATAGCATAATCTGAATTTACGTTGAAAGGAAAACAATTTGTACCATGATTTTTTTTACTAGAATTAGAAATCTTGGGTTGATAATAGAGGATATATGCATACAGCTCACTTATTGTTATTGATCAACAAATTTTATAACTACATATATATACACACTTTTGTTGTTTAAATAACTTTAAGAAATAAGCGCCTATTATTGAAGTTGTTAACATAATAAAGTATAAATATAATTGTAGTTCTTAGTTAGATGAGAGAGTAATTGTCAAGAATAGAACGAATCTTTTTGATTGGTCGAAGCTAGAAGATGACCGGACGAACTGTCATTTTGATTGGGAGAGTAAGATAGGTTAAGTTCTTTTACTCAACCAGTGAATGATAATTAAGAAACTGCACGAATAATATAAGTGGACATCTCAAAGGTATATTTTCATATTATCTTGTTGGTTCGGGTGATAAGACCCTGGATAAGCTCAAGTTAGTCTGTTAAGGTGAATGCTTATAGTGGATGTAGCTTTTCATAAAGGCATGTCAAAAGACAAACATTGAATAAGCCATTACATAAGAAAATGTTTAAAGTTAACTTGTTTTTCTTGTTTTTCTAATTTTTTAAAAAAATATTACTAAAAATATGTGATCTTCTAATTTTTTTTTTTTTTCATTTTCATGCAATGCAGTAATTACATTTTTCAAAATTCAAATGCGTTGCTACCATTTTGAATTAAAATAACTATAATTATATTCATTTATTTTATCTCTACCCTAGGCACGTTTTGCTTTCTTCTATTAATGATGCTCTTCCTTATTATTGTAGGACTTTTTACTAATCGTTATAGTTTTCTTTGTTTTGTTTTGCTATTTCGGTGAACTATTTTGCGTTGCTTGACTACAATTTATAGTTTTCAAGATAGATTTTATTTTCGTTTTTCCTCCACATGGAAGAGTTAGATTCTTTTGAAGAAAGAAAGGTATAAAAAAATTTCTTGCTCTGGCTCCATTTTGTTTTGGACAATGTTATATGGAAAAGAGGAGGTGTGCTAATATGTAGAAGGATACTAAGTATTTATGGTTACAATCCTTATAATTTGATACTTTTAAACTTTTTGAAAATATCGCATGATGCGCATCGGATCCTTCAAAGTAGAACATTTTTGAAGAATCCAACAGCATTTTGGATAATATGTGCAAAATAGCTCTTAAAATATCAACTGCACAAAAACTTCAGATTGAAAATTAGTTGTTCACGAGCTATCTTGCGTTCTGAATTAGTAACTAAGTAGACGAGAAATTGTGTGTTCAACATTTTGACAAGTTAAATTTCCTCGATAAAGTTACCAAAGTCATGGTTCATTTACCAGGTTTAATTTATTAACTAAGAAATAATTTCAAAATCACGTATAAGAAGCAACACTCAACAATGTGATGTTTAAATAAAAGAAAAGATACTGTTTTTATTTTTATTTTGTAGAGATTAGGCACCAGTGAACTTTTTTACTGTCAAGTTTTGTTGCAGTAAAGAAGATTAAATGACCTAATAACAAGACAGAAAAATGTGAGATAATGATTGAATCTGGACACGATTAGCGTTATCAGTGGGGAAACTAAGTTTTTTCACTAAGAGAATTTTAAAAAAAGATACACTAAGAAGTGTATATACACTAAAAAAAAAATACCTATCTATACAATATAATTTTTCGGTGCCCTTGGACAAGATTACATGAAATTGTAGAAGTTAGCATTATGCTTGAGAAACTTTATACTGGTTCATATTGAGTATTTAGTTAAGTTAGAAATAGAAAATTATATGCAAACTGAAAATTCCTCATCTAAATATCAACTTCTTAGACCACATAGTTTGTCCAAACACACTACACAATGTACAATATATAAACTGCTAGTATAATGTTTCTTATATAGTTTGAGACAAAGTATGTAGTGAAATTGTACAATCTTGTATTCTTATCATAACCATTCATAAGATAAGAAACAACTACTTTTTGCCTATTACCTTCCTGTTTGATTCACAATTTGAGAAAAGACATCATCTGTGTTATTATCACCAGTTTCACTTTCAAGACTCAAAGTACTTCTATGCATAGCTATCAAACTGTGTTGATCTATAACTTCAGCCTTTTCTTGATCCACATTTTTAGTTGCCTCACAATTTGATGCAACCCCATCTGGATTTTCCTCTAACTGAAGTGCATATTCAAGATTCCAAAGCACGTCGCCCATAGACGGACGATCAATACCATTATCAGCTAAACATTTCTCTGCTGTTTGAGCAAATTTTTTCAAGCATTCAGGATTTATCTTTCCTTTTAATTGTGGATCAATAATATCTTCTAAATTCCCTTTTCTTTGACAAGCTAATGCCCAATCTGCAAGACTAACTTGTTCTTTCGAAAGGTTCGGATTAAGTGCTGGCCTTGCACATAATACTTCAAACAAGACAACACCAAATGAGTAGACATCTGATTTTTCAGTCAGTTGTTGTCTTCTAAAATATTCAGGATCCAAATAACCAAAGCTACCTTTTACAACTGTTGTAACATGTCCTTGGTTCATATTTGGACCTGTTTTCGAAAGTCCAAAATCCGAAACCTTAGCAACCCATTTATCATTTAGTAAAATATTTGTACTTTTCACATCTCTATGTATGATAGTGTATTTAGCTCCTGTGTGAAGGTAATGAAGTCCTCTAGCTGCTCCAATACAAATTTCCAACCTTTGCTTCCAAGATAATATAGTTTTATTACCTTTATAAAGATGTTCTCTTAATGTTCCGTGCGCCATATGATCATAAACAAGGACCATTTCATTATTCTCTTCACAAAATCCGATCAATGACACTAAATGTCGATGCCTTAGCTTTGACAGCATCTCGATTTCAGTCTGGAACTCGTTCACCCCTTGTTGTGAAGACGGATTTGATCTTTTGATTGCAACTTTCGTGTCACCATCGATAACTCCTTTATACACCTTACCAAATCCACCAACACCAATAACATAAGATTCGTCGAAATTCTTAGTAGCCTGTTTTATCTCAGCTAATGAAAAATATCGACAGTTAGAAGCAGCATCTGAAGATATCGTCGTGCTACCACAACTTCTTCCTGAAGCTGATTTGCTACCGGAAGAATGAGAGTTACCATAAATTGGTAGCCAACTCGTTGTACCTTCAGCTCCCGGGGCTGTTCTCTTTTTCCTCTTATAAGCAACAATAAGTAAAACAGCAGCTACACCAAATGCAGCAACTCCACCAGCAGCACCAGTAATTATAGCAGAAGTACTATGTGATTTCTCCTCATCAGCAAATGGACGCGGAGTTTCTTTTTTACTTTGCTCTACTTCTTGTTGCTTCTTCATTAAATCTGAAATTGCAGGATTCCGTCCTGCTAAGCTCGTGTTTCCCGCGTTCATTTTAAATATCTCAATCCCATTTACAAGAGCATTAGCAAATTCAGTTCCAGTACCAGATGGATGTACTGCAATCCAAAGTTTATCCTTCCCTGATTTATCATCAATAATATGAGTCACATAATCTTTTTCTAATGGAATTGCTTTTTTTCCATTTTTGAATGCAATTAAATCCATATCGCGTTCTGCAATTTGTCCATTGATATATACATTAAAGACCATGGAATTGACCCTCGTGGCATCGATAGTGAAATCACACCAGTGAAATCTCACGAGATATGAAAACCCCGGATCAACATTGAAAACCCAAGTGAGGTTATATTGTAAGTTGAGATTCGAATCATAACCCATTGCTCTACAACTCTCGTACACAGCAAGTGGTGCAATGTACGTTGGCAAGTCATCGTAACGAATTGTCATGTTGCTGCTCATAGTAACACCTGATGCAGCACCATCTACGTAAGGAGTATCTTCGTACCAACTTCTCATTAACCCGCCCGAATCATTTTTTGGAGGAATATATTGTCCACCAACATTGACCCTATACAACAACTCCATAATATTATCCTTTATAGATATAGTTTGTTGAGCAGTAGCAAATTCAACGTCGAACCCAACCAACGTAGGATCAGGGCCGAAAAACAAATCAGGCGATGTGATCATTTCAATTCCATTAATAAATGCAAATGGTGAATTACCAAAAGGCTTAATTTTGATTTCCAGGGTTGGAGAATTGACAGGAGTTAAAATGTATTCTTTAATAATGTAACTTTGTGAAAAGGCTTGAGCTGTTATAAAGGCACTGAAATTGCTTAACAATGTAAATTTACCAGCTGAAACTGTGATATATGAATTGGAAATATTGAAATTAGGATAAGGAGATGGATTGAAATGAAGCCTGAGTAAAATATAAGTTGTTTGGTTTTTAACAGGAAGGTTATATGAAGATTCAGATTGAAAAATTCTTGCATTTATATAAGGTACAACAGATGGAGAAGAAGGGCCTTGAGATTCAGGTTGTGAAATGATTGATTTATCACCTGAAATTAGATATTTCGCGTCGGGTTCCCATTTTCTCTCATCTTCATCCGTTCCACCATTTTCCGAACCACATGCTAAGAACAATGTATTTTGATCATCACCTTCTGCAGCATGAAGCGAGCGAGAAATAGAAGAAACACATACGAATAGTAGCAAAATGTGGACGATCTTTGTTAACATGATGTTAACAAAGAAAAGAAAAAGGCGTACAGGAAATCAGGCGATCCTGTACGCCTAGTCAATGCAAAATGAAGCTTTTTTTTAAAGGTGGGGTTGCTTGTTTTTGATAAAGGCAAAAACCAGGTCATTTCTTCGCATCCATGAAAAGGGTGTTAGCTAAAAATTCAACTATAGGATGCTGGGAAATAGACCAACAATGAAAAAAAGTTGAAATATAGTCAATTTTTTTCAACTTTTTCTTTTTGTTTGCCTTTTTTGACATCATTAAACACACACCAATCACTATTAAAAATGGACGTTATGAATTAATGGATAAGAGTGAAAAATTGTAACGCAAACCTAAATGAATAAAATTTCTTCCTAAGCTAATGAGAACCTCAAAAGGAAATATTGGCCTAGAGTACTACTCGCGCAACAATTTAGGAAATAGTACAAATGAGATCATGAGTATATAAATATTGCATTCATCATCTAAACATAAAATAGGTATTGCAAATATTAATAGAAACAAATGAGAGATAATAAATTATAATAGTAGACAGTTAATTGTTTTCAACACAATCAGTTTAAATCACTCTAGTATTCAAATATGATTAGAATGTGATTATGTGAGCATCTCCATGAGTTGAAAAAGGAGAGTAGTTAACAACAATACTTAAAATGTGTCAATCCTAAATATGAAAAAAAAAAAAAAAACATAGGATAGGAAAGACACATAAAAGAAGTTTAATCAAATATATGCATAACCACTTTGCGAAATGAAGATGGAGATAGGTTTAATCACAGGGCTGGAGTTCGAGCCCAGGACATAGATTTACCTTTGTTAGAGAATGCTTTATTCCCCACTGTGACACTTTCTGGGGTGAAGCCCCAATATAAGTACCATGCATCGGGTGGGTATTATAGCAGACAACAAAATTTTACTAACAATTAACACTAAGATGGAGAGGAAACATCAAAATAAAAGATGAATTATTTTTTTAAGAACCATGCACAGAGTGAAAAACTTAAAAAAACACAATATTATAATAGAATAACAAAAATGTACTTCTAACATTTAACAATAAGAAGGAGAGAAACCATCAAAATAAAAGATGAATTATTTCTCAAGAACCATGTCACACTATAAAAGATATTCTAATAAATATATTTAAGGTGAATCTTTTCAACTAGCCAAGGAATTATTTCTATGAGACTACAAAAAAGGTTGAATATTTCAATATATTCCCTAGTTGCAACTAAAACATACTTTGCAAAAAAAGTATCAACTCCTTTCATCCTTTCGAATAAATCAAAATATCCTTCGCCCTTTAGAAAAGATACTCATGATTAATCATTTAATCAATTACTATGATCTTTGCTTAAAACATCTCTACAACTCGGTTCAAGTGTTTTACAAAGCATTACTATTCTTAAGTACATGCTTGATAATTCATGCCACGTCAACAAGCAAGATACGCGATATATTAAAAAATTTCTTTCATTTATGAAAGATTATTAATTAATTAACTTATATATAAAGCATCAACATTAGGTGTTTAAGGCCCCGTTTGGCCATAAATTTTGTCAAAATAAATTTGAGATTTATTTTCAAAACTCATGTTTGGCCATAAATTTTGCTCATATTTTGGCCAAATCCCAAATCAAAAATTTCAAATTCCAAAATCAGCTATTGAGCTGAATTTGGGCCAAAATTCCAAAACTTGAGAATTATATACATGTTTTTTCAAAATAAAGTTGGAAAATATAATCTTCAAACCAAACTCCACCCAAATTAAATTTTTCAAAATAAATTTGGAATCTATGGCCAAATGCTAGGTAATTGTTCTTTATATTAAAAAACACAACAACAACAACAACACGACCTTACCCTACCCAGAATAGGTAGAGACGCTATTTTGGAAAGACCCTCGGCTCAACATAATAAGAAACAGTGTTCAATAATGTTTAAAGGAACAACCATTTTGTTCTAATAACGTTGTGTGTTTGCAGCAAAACACTGCGTAGAAGACGAGGGAAACAAAAGAAGCAAAGAAAGAGAGGAGAAAAAGGAAAGTGGCGAGTCAGTGTGTGTGTGGCTAAGCCAAAACAAAAAGCCAATACAAGAAAACAAAATCACAAGAGAAAAAGAAAAAAATGGACGAGATTATGAGTATCTGCATTGCCATTACTACTAAACTCGCTATATCAACAATTCTCATTAGCCCTCATCTCTACCCTAACCCTACTATACACAAAAAAAAGCCATTTTTTTTCTCATTCTTCTCCTTTTCATCTCTCCACCGACTCATCAGCGAGGTACGTTTTTGTTGCTATTTATCTTGTGGCCGAATGTTTAGTCATATGTTTTTTGTTAAATTAAACGTTTTTGGCATGTGGGTATAATGTTGATTAATGTGCTTCATCGGCAAGGTACGATTTTTTGGTTATCTATGTTGTGCCCAAGTGTTTAGTTTTATGTTTAAGTTAAATTAAGCTTTTTTTGGCATGTGGGCTTGTGTTGATTAATGTTCTTGTTTTCTGGGTTGTGATAAATCTTTTTGGGTGCTTCTTTATTGGGTGTTTCTTTGTGTTTATGTGATGTTTTGAGTATTCTGTTGGTAGAATTTTATATGCTTAGTATCCATTGCTGAACTTGATTTTTCATTGGCTCATGTGTAAGTTTTGTTTATATGTTTATAATGTTTTGAGTAAAGGGTTTTGTATTCAATTTGTTTTGTCTAAAATTTCTATCCCATTTTGGTGATAACTGCTATTTATTGATGATACATTTACTTACATCTTGGCCTTCCATATGATGTATCCAAACGAAGTAAACACACGAAAAACCAAGGGATTCAACATATAACATATATACTTAAATTTTTTTGACCTATCTACGTAGTGTAATTTTCCAAGCACCCCTTGGACAAAGGTGGCTCCGCCACTGCATATGAGGTGCAATATCTTTTTTAACAAAAAGTGGTAAATCTGAATTTTCAATTATTTTCAGTAGCTTATCCTTCAAAAGTTTTGTTGAAGATTAGCTTTATCTTCATGTTTCTCTCTTATAAATGGTTTACCACAAGGGTTTTATAAAAGCTTTGTCTTTGCATGCTTGCAGTTTCCAGTTGGTGCACCTATTTCCAGGTTCATCTGGCTGTATTTTTGTATCGTGGACTTAAGTCCGTGATCTAATTGGTACACATTTGCTGGTGGTGGGCAGATTCTTTTTGTGCATCATGAGTGAGTGTGGTGGTACTCGATATGAAGGGCTCGCCTCTATTGTTAGAAAGAAAAGAAGCCAGATACTGCGTCGACCTAGAACAGAGAGTCTGACATTTCCTGAACGCCGTGATCAGTCACCCCTTACACCAGCTTCAGATAGTGTTGGTAGGATCTCTAGCGGTGAGAATACTGACGATGCTAATGTTGGAGGGAGAGTCTACAAGTTTAATCACTGTGTATCTAGAGATTCTTCTGCTAACAGATTCAAAGGTGATTATGCTTCTAAGAAGAACAAGGAGGATGCAAGATCTAGTGTGATATATAATAATGCACGTAAGGGAGATGATACGGATCTCTGGAATGGTGCATCTCTTAGGCAGGTAGGGAACACTGAGAACAATGGAGCTAACGATAGCAAGCTGAAAAAGGTAAAGCTGAAAGTTGGTGGCGTGACACGCACTATTCAAACCAAAAACAATTCTTATGGAGCATCTGGCAGTTTATCGTCTACTAAAAGTGCACGACCTTCTGATGCCCTTCGGCCGCGACAGAATCTCACTCCTCAGGTTTTTCGCACGCTCAGATTGTTAATTATTTGGATTCTCTAAATCCACTTGAATCTTTAATAATGTTGTCAGATTTAATATGGTAGAAAATTATGGTTGGTTTGGATAGGAGGCCAATTAAGAATTTGCCACTTACTAGATTCCGTCTAGTATCCAAATTTTGTGGAAAAGAGAACACATTAAGCAACATCTGAACTTGGTTATTTAGTTTCTCAGGGAATGGATAAAGAATGTGCCCGAGAAACATTCTTTTTGGTTGCTGATTTAGAACTTCACTAATTTCCATTCCAAATAGTAAGCAAGAAAATTTAGTCATTGCAATTTATTAAAAGATGCTAATTGTGATTATTCTTTTGTCCATTTTCTTATGTGTATGGCTAGTAAATCTTTGGCATTTATGTAGCGATAGATTATCATTTAATGATCCTAGTAATGCTGATCTTTCAATTGAACCATTCTCTCTGGATTTCAGGACAATTCAAGTGAAGACGGTCCTCCGGCAGATAAGAAAAGTGGGTCGAAAGGAATTTCGTGGAACGATTTCTCAGGAGGCACGTTTGCTACTAGCAAGGGCGATATGGGAAGGAATGCGTTAGAAAAACAAGGGGACAAGCCTCATCAAAATCGTAAGACCAAGAAGACGCCAAAGAGGCTTGTTTTGGATGGCCTTGATGATGATGAGGATGACGAGATTCGTTATTTGGAGAAGCTTAAAACCTCGAAGGTTGCAGGATATAAGGATTTGGGGGAAGAATCAACTAAGACAAGAAGTCTTTCCCGCGTTTTGAAGGTCGATAAGTATGAAATGTCGGACGATGTTGGAAGGTCAGGCAAAGAAGTTAAGAGTATATCAGATCGAAGTTCTGAGTACACTGATTATGAGGAGGAGTCCCCTGAGACACCGGCTGAAACAAAAAGGGAAGTAAGTCTCACAACACGGCAACGAGCTCTTCTATCAAGCAGGGATACCTCTGCCACTTCTGCTAATCAGATTGAGTTTCCTAACGGCTTACTGCCGCCTCCACCTCGAAGTGAGAAAATTTTGTATTTACTCATATCTTGTGATGGTATCCCTTTCCTTAATCACTTTTCTGATTCACAAAATTTGTTTTGCCATCTCTGCTTTTTTCAACAGAACAAAAGGAGAAGCTAACAGCAGTTGAGCAGCAACTGAAGAAAGCAGAGGCTGCTGAAAGACGTCGAATGCAAAATGAGAAGGCAGCTAGGGAATTAGAGGTTTGCCCTTGTTCTTTTTCTTTTCTTATGATGTGTTACGTTTTTTGAGATTTTACGATGCTGAAATGAGCATAACTTTTTCAATTTTGCAGGCTGAGGCAATTAGAAAAATACTAGGTCAAGATTCCAACAGGAAGAAGCGAGAAGAGAAAATAAAGAAGCAGCAAGAAGAGTTGGCACAGGTATCCCATGTGTTGCTAGGTTGCCAGTTTGTTATCGGTTATGAAGCTAACAATCAATTAATCGTTGTATGTGGCACAGGAGAAGGCTGCTAAAGAGAAGATGCTTGCGTCGAGCACTATCAGAACGGTTATGGGCCCCACTGGTACTGTCGTGACATTTCCTCAGGATATGGGTTTGCCAAGTATTTTTGACTCTAAGCCTTGCAGGTAAGGATTGTCACCCTTTCCCTTTCCCTTTCCCTTTCGTCCTCATTTTCCAGCCTATGCACTTTGTTCCATCTGGAATCTGAATATCATGATCCTTACATTTTGTTTTAAGCTTCATTTTAGTTACTTACAGTTTATGCTTTGTGGTTTTGTTGCTATACTCCAGTTATCCCCCCCCTCGCGTGAAATGTGCTGGTCCTTCCTGTGAGAACCCATACAAATACCGCGATTTGAAGTCAAACCTTCCTCTTTGCAGTCTTAAGTGCTACAAAGCAATTCATGAAAAGATGGAGGACGGAAAAAACTGTTAAAATTATTGTGACATATGCAGGTATTCCTGCTTATTTATGTTTAATTTGTAAGGATAATGGAGATACTCTTTTCTCTCTCAATCATATTATAGAAAATTATACAGGAATTTGAACTACCCCAGTGATTCAAAACATAGCTGAGAACAATTTTTTAAAAAGTTTTTGTCAGTGTGAATTTATAATGGGCATGCCTGAACCTCTTAATACAACTTCTTAAGTTCTTCCAGCTTTGGTTAACCTCTTGGCTGTTCAGTTAAGCATTTTTTTGGTGATGACTATCCTTTCTTACGTTATTCTGGTCGATTTTAGCCTTTCTATTTAGACGTTTCTTGACCACTTCATATCCTGGCTGCTACAGTAAGTCTTATCTATTTCAATTGGTTTATGGACTCTGTCTAGTTTTTAGGATACTTTTGATGCATTTTGAAAATGCGAAACAGCCTCTCCACCCTCAAGGTGTAGGGGTAAGGTCTGCGTACACACTACCCTCCCCAGACCTCACTTGTGGGATTATCTGGATTTGTTGTTGTTGTTGTTGTTGTTTTTGCTCCATCCAATTGGTAAACTCATATACATGGTTGAACTCTGGTAATGTCCATACTTACAATCACTTGGATTTGGAGTTTAACTAGCATGTCAAGTGAAACTAAGATCAAAGCTTGAATCTACGTTTAGAAGTGGATCATGTAGTTTAAGGTAGATCTGAAAATAGTTGCTATATCAATCAACAATCACAGTGGTTTTACATGAGCTTGATAGTTCTGAATCTACAATTAAAGCAGCTAGCAACACTGGAACCATAAAGCGATAGCAACACTCATGCCTTTTGTTAATGGTATGATGCACACATTAGACTTCCCTTGATCATTGCTATTGATAATAGTTGAGAATGGTATCGTGGCCAATGTTGCTCACGTATTGATTTGCTCGACAAAATCTCAATCTGCACTTGTGCTTGCTTAAGTCTGAAGCTTTAGTTTCATTATCGGTCAGAGCTAGGAGCTCTTCTTATCCTGTTTTATCTCAATCAAACTCTACAACTACTCTTTTCTGCCAATTAGAAATTCTCATCGAGATTATTATGCAAAAAAAAAAAATTATCTTTTCCTTGGTATTTAGTGCTGCCAATTAGGTGGGGACATGATTCGAACCTGCAATCTTCAGGTCATGAGCATGTTTAGAACTATGATCTATTTTTAGATTAGAAATTCTGTAAATTCTGTGAAGTGTGTGTTTATGCACATTGGCGGTCTGTATTAACTGATAGCTATATGAGTAATCAAATGTCAAAAGGCCTTAATCCAAGGGGGACTGCTGAGGCATGCTGCTGGAAGTGTCACCTCAAAGAACCCCTTAAGCGTCGTTTGGTACGCAGACTAAATTATCCCGGAATTATAGTTCTGAGATTATAATCCCGAGACTAATCTATCCCACCTAGGAGGTGGGATAAAATAATACTACCAAGTTTGATAGGATAAAGTGGATATGATTGGATATTCAGGATCAAGTCTTGGACTATGTTTATACTATGTTCGGTTGATGATATAAATTTATACCAAACATAGTATAAATTAAGTACCACACTTTATCCCATCTTATCCCGCGCACCAAACGACCCCTTAATCTTTTAGGAGGAAAAGGATAGTTGAATTGTCACATTTGCCACCATTTTTACTGTGATCAGAACATTCTAAGCCATATTCGTAACACACAAGAAGACACTGACAGGTGAAGAAAAATTCATCTTCTCATACGTTTTCTTGGCTAAATTTCAAAAATTTGAACGTAAATAACATTGTTCTAACTTCCAACTAGGGATATAAGAAGAGGCAAACTATGAGAACAAAAGCACGTAATCAATCAACAAGCATGGTATATGAGCCTCATCGAGTTCCGAGAATTGATACCTCAGCTGTTGATTGTGGTTCAAGCAATCTTGCAACGTTTTTTTCCACCTGGTGTCTGGTGCACGCATTAGAGCTTCGATTAATTTGGATTCGCATCGAGGAAGTGCGCGGATAGCCATTGTGCCTATCGGGTGATACTTCTACATTCGCATCGCATAGGGCCCATTAAAGGAGGTAATACTTCCTACCAAAAAATTTTCTATACCCAGAGCTAGAATCTAAACCTTTTAAGGTTTATCTTGAAATGTTTGAGTACTCTGTGACCAACTCATTAATCTTTTATGTTCTAAAAAGCTTCGTTTTAGAAACTAATGAATACTTAGAGCTAAATAAAGTAATCGAGAGAAAAACATAGAAAGGAAGCAGAAGATGAGCAAAGAGATGATAAACCCACGTATATGGGTAAAGTAAAATATATATATTTTTTTAAAAAATGAAAATTTAACCATACCGATCAAAGTTGGTCGGTAAAGTAGAAATCTGGGTAATCCTTGTTCATTAACCGACCAACTTTGGTCGGTAATTATTAATTATTTATTTTTTTAAAAATAATTAAGCGACCAACCTTGGTGGCTAATCAGCAGAAAATTATTTTTTTAATTAGATACCGACCAACTTTGCTCGTTTTTCTGGGTTTTAATTTTGGCATAAAATACCTGTTTTGGCAGCTACACCACCTGCCAACATACCAAAATCTCTAAATAACAACAACAACAACAACAACAACAACGACACAATTTAATAAATACATTAAAACTAACAAATTAAAGTTCAATAGAACTAAAAAATCCAAAACCAAGTTAATACTTATTACAACTAGTTCAGAACCGAATCTATTTGTCTAGTTCAAAGTATATACAAGTCAAGGAGTGTTTTGTACAACATCATCATCACCGTCTGCTGAACTTTCATCTAAAAGACGGTATCGAGAAGGGTCTTGTGGAGGACGTGAAGAACGACCACGGGGAGGACGGGAGGAACGATCACGGGGAGGACGGAAGGAACGCTCACGTTCAAGTCGAGCCTCTGGCGATGACTCACGAGACCGGGCAACGGAAAAGCTCCAGTAGATAGGAGAGAAGTGATCTGAGCTTGCATGCCAAGGAATTGAGCATCTCTAACCCTTTCTCTTTCCTTGGCCGCTTCTAGCTCGGATGTGAGCTTTGTCACAGTCTCCCGCATAGCGGAGAGGCTCTCCCCATTAAGTTGCTCGCCTTGCGAGGAAGTCTCTATTCCCTGCATTCCACACTTATAGCGATGGAACTTTTTAGTAGGAAGCCCGCACCTTCCCCCATTTTGGACCGCCAGCAGACTCCATCCATATTCTTTCAGCATCCTCGTCCGAAGGTTGGGTTGGCTCGCCCGATTCACCAGCTGGCTGAGTGCGGATGAATTCCTCCACGTTAGTTTGGTAGCGACCCTATACGAAAATTTAAATTGAATTAGTATTTCAAAATTTATATAAAAGTAAATTAAAATACTTAAAAAAAAGTCAAAGCTTACATATACAGTCGAGGCCCGATCCTCGACCCACCTTTCTTGATATGTCTCTTTCTTCTTCTTTACAATATGCGTCTCCTTGAATAGCACATCATGGTTCATTGGACGCCCCAACTTCTTTTCCTGAAAATAAATTAATTTAGTTAATAAACTGAATAGATATACTTTGAAAACTAAAATAATTTAAGCAATTACGTACCAATCTTCTTTTTATTGTCCATAGGCTGACCACACCTCCAGTGTGCAAGGAGCCTCCCTTCTCAGGTGCGGGAGCTTTCTTTCCCTTTTTGCTCTTCTCTAAGAACTTTGCGGTAAGCCATTGCCTTTGAAAATCATCCCATAAATTTTGAAGTAACCAGTCAGGCTTTTTGTTCTTCTTTCTAGCTCCGGAGAAAGTATGCGACAATCGCTTGCGAGCTTTGTGATGAAAATTTGCAGCCACTTTCGCGCTATAGCGGTGTTCCCATACACACTTGATCTGTATTGCAAAAGTTAAATATTAAATAAGAAATATTATAAATATAAATTATTAAACTGCTTAAAAGAACATTTATACCTTAAATTGATTGAAAATTTGCTCTTTCAGCGAGAATGGGAAATCAGTCCAAGTCGCATAAGGGCCATCATAAAGCTTTCTGATGGCATTGGTGATTATCCTCGTAGTCTTATTACTCGGGATGAACCTGCAATTTAACAATAAAAACACATTAATATCTTAGTAAAAACTTTACAAAACAATAAACGCAAAAATAACAAATAACTCTTACCCATCACCCTCAGGGACTATGATGATCCTGCTATATTGATCATAATGCACCTCCTCGTCATCATCAGCATCATCGTCTGAAGCATGTATATCAGAGGCATGTGTGGACGGTGTAGGGGGTCAGAGCTACTACCTCGCAGGCGAAGGCCTGAAATAGATGGAATCGCTGATGAAGATGGCTGCGATCCCTGTGACTGCTGTCACACCCGCAGGGTGTAAAGGAGTTTTTCCACTTAAAGGACAATCGGAACGGGATTTATTATTAAGATTTCAGAGTCGCCACTTGGGAGATTAATGGTGTCCCAAGTCACCGGTTGAATCCCGAACCGAGGAAATTATGATTCTGTTTAACAGTCCGCGATCCAGAAATCCGAGTAAGGAATTTTGTTAACCCGGGAGAAGGTGTTAGGCATTCCCGAGTTCCGTGGTTCTAGCACGGTCGCTCAAACTGTCATATTTGGCTTATTTGTTTGATTTTAGTACATGTTTTAATCTATGTGCTTTTAACTTTGAACCGCTTTTATTATTATTATTTTAAGAGAATTGCAACGTCGTGAAAATACGTCTCGAACCGCGTCACATAAATGCACTCGCGATTTTTGACACATTTCGACTTCGTTGGGATTTGGATTTGGCTCACATAAATGTGCACCCGTATTTAGGAAGGTAAAATTATTTAAATTGCGTGCCTAAAGAGACTATCGCGTTATTATCTTTGGAGAAGGCCGTGAAATTCGCTAAACGGCCCATCTCGAAGTCTAAGTATTTTAACACAAACATTTATTGAGGGCCCCGCAATTTACATATTTTTTGTTTGGCGAGGCTTATCTCATTTATTACTTAAAAGGCAACCCTAAAAGCAACTATGATTCTCTATATTTTATTTGTCTCTAATAATAAAAGAAAGCGTCCTAATTAATTAATATTA